CGTTCCTTCTTTCTTTGTAACGTGTAATTCGACAAAGAGCAAACTAATACTTTACATATTACTTGAACTCACCGCAGTGTCGTTTAAGGTTTTGTCAGATTATACTTGACATATTCCTTTGCAATTTCATTGTGTGATGTTGCCGGATGAAACATTTATCAAAATAAAAGTGTAAACGATGTTAACATAAACTTTTCAAGCGCTTCTTTTGTCTGATTCAAGGCGTTGTAGAACACTTGACACTATATCACTTCTTTAATGTTATAATGTTCGATTTGTATTGTCTTTATTTGTTCTGCAACAATACAATCTGGCTACACTGAACCTACGAGTTGCGCGCGCATGTCATCTTTTATTACTTTCTATCTTGTATTTATTACAATTAAGCTCTCTTTCTCTATTTATGCGAGACAGGTCTATGACTGGATGCTCTACCGATAATCGGAATGATAGTGTTTTTGTTGCTATTCCGATGATCAGACTACTAGTTTCTTCTGTTATTATTCCGCAAAATAATTTAAGAATTTACCTATCACTTAAGATATTATTTTCGGACTATTAGGATTTACTCATATTATTCCGAAAATTAGTTATGGTTTGAAATAGGTTAGAGGTTCCCTTATATCTTATATTATGTTAATACGGTGATACCTAGTTAGTTGATTTGTAAATATTAGTGCAAGTATTAGAGAGTAGAATTAGAATTATTACAACACTATGGATTCAAAAAACCTGTTAGAACAAGGGAAAAGTTTCAATTCTTATAATGAAGTATAGTCTTACATAAAGACAGTTGAAAAGGAGTTATTAATATTCCTATATAAAATAGATGCTAAAAAATTGCAAAAAGTTGTCCCAAAAAATGTCAACAGGCTAAGGCAGAATTGGTATACTACCTATTAGAATATACTTGCCATCAAGATGGTAAAAGATTTAAATCTTTCAGCAAAGGTATGCGAAAAGCAAGGTCAGTACCTATAGGTACATAATTAAACAGTAAAAACAATACTTCTTGAATCATAAAGATATAATTGTATTTTCAGAAGGTGTGAAAAAAAATGAGGGGCAAGCTGTTTTTTTCAGGATTATTCAAGAGGGCTGTCCTTAGTGTAAAAACACTGGAGTCAGAAACTTTCCTCTTCCGGGCCCTTGCCGCCCTTAGGGGTTGTATCTCAACATTGTGTTACAATGGAATTTTTGGTCTCTAATCCAACCTAAAACCTGTCAAACTCCAACGTCTCCACCTACCGTGCCAACTACTTTTTTCTAAAATATATTTTTATATTTATATTTATTAAATGTTTGGAATAATACGAGTAAATGCTATTAGTCCGAAAACAATGAGTGAACATTTTGCCGAACAATAACAAAATAAACTAGTAACCCGATAATCGGAATAGAACCAAAAACCCCTATTATTCCGATTATCGGACGAGCATCCAGTCCCTAAAGAATTTGAAAGCATTGACAATTTTACATTGTATTGCCAACATAATGCCATTTTGACTTTTATCTTTAAAAAAAGAACAGACTTTAGGAAAGACTTTTTTTATTAAGGGTAAGGGCCATCCGAGGGGTTTTTCACCTTGTTAATCGGTATACAAATCATTAGTTAATATAAGTATGTCAATCAATACCAGGTAACAGGGTGCTGCAATTTGGAGTGTTTTAACAGGAAAAACACACTTCCCGACCAGATAGAGGAAAATTGACAAAGATGTCATGGGATCGATTTTCGAGAAACGTCGATTGTCAAAAACCGTATCGCGATATCTTCAATGGTACCATTAATACAGGGCGATTTTCGATTTTCCCCTATTATGAAAAATGGCTATAAGTTTTTTATTTATCAATTTTTTTTATTTCTGTAAAAACATTATGGAGACACTTTTTTGAGCACAATCCAGTGGCGGACTCGGTTTTTTTCTATATCGCTCCGATTCCGAGATATTGACCAAATTCCGATATTTTCAAATGAAGCACCCTATATATTAATAGCTCATTGGATAGCTCTGTTTTTGCTGATTTGAATGATATAAAGTTCGATAGGTTTATCTCTAATAGTTTTCGAGAAAAAAAATTATTTCTGTTTTTGTTGTAAGGACCAATGTGTTAGAAAAGGATTTTATATGTGTAAGGGAAGTGAGAAAGGTCTATTTCTAACACATTGTTTCTTATGACTGAAACAGATATAATTTTTTTTCTGGAAAACTGTTAGAGATAAACCTATCGAACTTTATATCATTGAAATCAGCAAAAACAGAGCTATCCAATGAACTATTAATATGAAGGATGTTTCATTTGAAAATATCGGAATTTGGTCAATATCTTGGAATCGGAGCGATATAGAAAAAAACCGAGTCCGCCACTGGATTGTGCTCAAAAAAGTGTCTCCATAATGTTTTTACAGAAATAAAAAAAATTGATAAATAAAAAACTTATAGCCATTTTTCATAATAGGGGAAAATCGAAAATCGCCCTGTATTAATGGTACCATTGAAGATATCGCGATACGGTTTTTGACAATCGACGTTTCTCGAAAATCGATCCCATGACATCTTTGTCAATTTTCCTCTATCTGGTCGGGAAGTGTGTTTTTCCTGTTAAAACACTCCAAATTGCAGCACCCTGTACTATGTCAATAGTATCAATACTAAAATCTGTTTTTTTTTTAAAGATAAACGTCAAAATGACATTATGTTGGCAATACAATGTAAAATTGTCAATGCTTTCAAATTTTTTATGTATAAAAGGCTTGTGTTGCCAACATAGTTACTAAATTTTTGACTTGGGGAATTATCTTAAAAAAAAAAAACACACTTTATGCAATACCTACTTGTTAATTATAGCCACATTCCAGCTGTGTGCTTCAAGCACGGTGCAGGACAGTGTTCTGTGTTTGAAACGCAAAATTTAGCAGCTCTCGAAGCGCAGTACAGCTGGAACACGAACACGCGCTTGAAGCATTTGCGCGCGCAAAAGCTCGATTGCGTGCTCAAAAGCGTCAGCTGGAAAGCGGCTTATGTAGGTAATATATGTCAATACTTGTAGATATCTAGACTATACCGGGTGTCTACGAGATCAGTTTCGCGCTGGCATTTGCTGTTTTTTTTTTTTTTCGATGGCAAATATTTTTGGTATAGAGTGTAGGTTTGAGAAATGTCATATTTGGACATGTGTGCCAATGTTTGGTAACTTCCGGTTTGACCGGAAATGGTCCTAACTCCGTAATTTTGAATGGCATTCCAATGATTTTTTCGCATTTTTGGTATCTGCGGATCATGCTGTGTACGAAAACTTCAAATTTGAACATTTTTGAAGAAATTTTAGAACTCTGGATGAAAATTTATTTTTGAACAGAAAAAGACGGAGCGGTCTTAAAATTGTTATTTTCAACCCACACTAGGGTTGCCAGATACTTGAGTTTTGAAAATAGGAGACCCTGTATAAGATTATATGAGATTTTTGAATGCTCTTTGTATAAAGCCAAAGCTGTCACAATTTTGGCATTAACGGTTTGTTAAAAAAGTCGAATCCACAGGTCAAATTGTTGGATGCAATTGAAGGTGCATTCAAAAATTTGTACCAAGATTTGTACCAATTCCAATGGCCGCCACTGTACTGCAATGATCAACTCCGAAAAAGCTCCCATCTTAACGATTAGATATGATTTTTAGCAGATTTTAGAATGTATTGCTGGACATTCTTTTAGATAGTTAGATACTCCTCCTGATCCGTCAGTCTCATTCTCATTTTTTTGTAACAAGTCGTGGACAATCTTGCAGTGGCGACGCGTGACAAGCAGTCTGGGGGAGGGGGGGGGGTAAATGGTACTTGGTTCAGGGGGCGCCCCTTCGTAAAGGCGCCGCAGGCGAAATTTTTGGCAAATTTCAAGGTCCTTCACTTTTCCAGAACAATTATCTCCTTTGTGGGGAAAAAAAAAATTGTTTTTTTTTTCAATATGCTATGTATTTTCTTTTGGGCATCGTGATTTTTCTCTTGATTCTTCGATCCTGGGGGGGAGGGGTAATTACCCCTCCCAACGTGACGCCCCTGCAACCTTGAGTTCTTCGATATTTAAACAAATCCCTGACCCAAAATCGTTTTGAGGTTCGATCCGAAAACGGAAGGAGTTGAAACTATTTTATCTTTATCCGACGTCGGATCGGCCTATCACGTGTATGGTAGTCATACATGTTTTTTTTTGAGGAGATATGAGAAATGGTCTCATATTAAACATGTTAATATGAGATATGAGAAACAGTTAAAATATATGAGTCTCATATTAAAAATAGGAGGTCTGGCAACCCTAACCCTGGAAAGTTCATTTGGGTAGGAATTTTTTTTTTACAATGTACAGTAAAGCTTCGTTAATCCGAACTCCATTAATCCGGATTTCCCAGTAATCCGGACAAAATTAAAATATTAGAAGTTAACATTATGTATTCTATAATCTGGATTACCTGTGATTCTATAATCCGGATCATAATTTTCTGCGCAGTTCGCCAATCGCTACAGGTGGTGTTACCAAAGTCTATGTCGGTGAATCCCCTTATTTCACCGAAAATGATGCGTTTGTTTCTGTGACAAGGGTGGAAAGCTTGATAGGAAGCATTATGGCGCCAAATACAGCACGCAAAACGTTAACTCTATTTCTGTGACTTTTCAAAAGGTTCCAATAATCCGGATGTTTCATTAATTCGGATTGCCTTGGTTTTTATTGATCCGGATTAGTGAAGCTTCACTGTATCTATTTTTCGACAATTTTCCTAGACTAGAAATAAATATTGTCAAAAAGGATAAGATCTAGAAAAACGTAAAATTAGATTGCTGTGCTTACTGGTAAAAAAGTCTTATTTTTTCGACGTTTGCGGAAAAAAACTACATATTCATAAACCTCCATTGCTTCTTATAATTATTACCTGGTTGTTCCAATTTACCATGAAAATATCTAAAAGCTTTTGGATCTTCTTTCCTAAAATTAAATAATCTTGTTTCAGATGCCACCATCTATGTAGGAGGCTTGGATGAAAAGGTTGTAGACTCCCTTTTATGGGAACTGTTTGTACAAAGTGGCCCTTTAGGTAAGCATATTTTATAAGATTATTTGTGCCTATTTTCTACTTTATCAAATTTACCTGCTATTTTTACCTAATTCATTGTATATTATATTGGGTCTTCAAAAAAAAAAAACAATCGAAGATTGCTTTGATTACGAAAACGTACGTCGCATTACTGTTTCTTTATTGGTCAGGATTTTTGACATGCCATTTTGACATTAGGTTCATTGACAAAATGAAAGAAAAATTTTGCTAAGACATAGGTTAAAAAAACCATAGCAATCTTTGATTGGTTTTTTTTTTGAAGACCCGATATTAATAGCCCCTAAAATATTCTGGCTCAAACATAGTCAAATTTTTCTCACGTCAGAATCAATTTTATTCAGTCAAGTGACTTATAAGGCTTTCTGAGAGTATGGCTAATTTTTAAACTTTTCAATAGACTCTTTACCATTGGGAAATATGTCTTGAAACTGTTAAAACCCTCAGTGTCTAGTGGAATCTTTTTTGCCCCTTACTTATCTTTCCAATGGCTTGTGGTCACAAATCATAAGTATTAAGTAAGTATAATAGTCGCCGCAAAAGATATTCGAAGTTCCCACAAAAAATTATTTCTTTGTCGGCGATGCCCCGGCCCCGGGATAAAGCAAAAACTCCACAGATGAGGGTTGAGAATCAATTTAGTCCAAAAGCATCAATTAAATTTATTTTGCGTATAGTACCTATTATTGTATTGTTCTGGATTTGGTACTTAATTTGTTGCATTAAATATTTGAAAGATCTTTTAAGAAAATTGAAAAATAATTTTATACATTATTCACGACAATTTAAACCTGATCCGTGCCCTGATGCAGGCCGTCTGATAAAGGAGTATACTTTTTTATATGAATCTTGAATATCTCTGGTGGCTACTATAATCATATAGTTCTCAAATTTTGGGTTACACATTAAAAACATATGTTGGCAAAGGCCTGCTTGCTTAAGCTACTCTTTAGATGGTGCTCTTGAGAGTCTTGAGACCTTGAGACACACTTATAAAGATGTTTTTACATGTAACAGGTAACAGGGAACTAATCATAGCAGTACTTCTGTTCAGGGTAATTCACAGAATAGTATAGCTATCGCTTATGATGCAAGATACAAAAAAAAAATGTAAATACACTATGTTCACTAGGAAAGCAGTTGGAGATCTCTAATCAGTTTATTGGGGAAATGGTAGGCCCACGTTGTACATTTTTTTAGAGCCTGTTCTAAAATTGCTGGTTTTTAAATAAAAATGAGTTACCTAATTACTCAAATAGGCTAAAATAAGTTACTCTGTAAGCTCTTATAGTGTGGGTCGTATACCTATACATATGAAATATTATTTTTTTGTTCTAGTGAATGTCCATATGCCTAAGGACAGAGTAACCATGACGCACCAGGGTTATGGATTTGTGGAATTTATGGGCGAAGATGATGCGGATTATGCAATTAAAATAATGAATATGATAAAGCTTTACGGAAAACCTATTAGGGTAAATAAAGCTTCTGCCCATCAGAAAAATCTCGACGTTGGTGCCAATATATTTATTGGTAATTTAGATACAGAAGTGGATGAAAAATTACTTTACGATACTTTCTCTGCTTTTGGAGTGATACTGCAAACGCCAAAGGTATGTTTACTCCACAGGTCTAATAACACACAGGAGACAAAATACTTCATGAATAAATTGCATTTTATGGGGACAACAGCACCCAGCTGTTTCTTTGGTTGCCTGTCTAAAGAAAAAGGTCTTTCCATAGATTATTTTTCAAAAATAAAAATAACCACGCTAAAAAATAACTCCATAAATCTTTAGATAATCGATCAAAGAATGTTTATGCCAAATTTGAGCCAATTCTGATGTGCCGTTTTTTTTTTTTACACCTTCAAAGCATTTCACGAAAATGGTCCTATGTGCACATGTACAGGGTGATCTATTATAAATGTCACCCACTCTTAACTTTTTGATAGAAGAGTCATATACAAAAGTTTCGAGAAATTTTCAAATTTTTTTAATCCGACTGGTAGTTCCAGAGATTAGCGCGTTCAAACAAACAAATAAACTCTTCAGCTTTATGATATTAGTATAGATGTTTTTTTGTAGATCATGAGGGATCCAGAATCTGGAAACTCCAAAGGTTTTGCTTTTGTCAATTTTGCCAACTTTGAATCTTCAGACGCTTCAATAGAAGCCATGAATGGACAATACTTGTGCAACAGGCCAATTTCTGTATCGTATGCTTTCAAGAAAGATTCGAAAGGAGAAAGGCACGGTTCAGCTGCTGAACGAATTTTGGCTGCACAAAATCCCTTATCGCAGGCTGACAGACCTCATCAACTGTTTGCAGATTGTCCACCAATGGGTAATTATTATACTTTATCCAAAATAAGAAGAACAATTATAATTATTTTTGCCAGGTATGGTGCCACCAGGAATGGCAGCTGCTCCGCCACCACCACCAGTAATGTTAGGTGTACCGCCACCTCATGTGACAGCCAACACTATGATTCCACCCCCACCTCCCCCTGTTCCCCCACCAACTTCATTCCCTCCTGGAATTCCTCCTCCTCCGCTACCGCCTTCTCAACCACCGTTACCGCCGATAGCACCCCCACCGCCTCCGAACGCTTCTAAGCCGGGTGTGATGAATCCTCCAGCATCGTGGAAAGGGGGACCGGGTATTCCTCCTCCACCACCTGTACCACCAGTGTCTGGTAAGTTAATCATAGTCATAGAAGTCACATTTATTAAAAAGCATAATTTGTAGTATAAGAAAATTAAAATCTTTATTTTCTACTTAACTATTATAGATCCATAATAGAATAGGTACCTAGGAAACGAAATATGTAAGTTAATATACCTATAACAACCTGAGGGCATTATGAGCGAGCATTCTAGATCATAACGCCCGGTAATAATATTCCCTCATTTAATTTATCAAAAACTTATTATTAGCGGGCGTTATAGATGCCCTCAGGTTGGTATAGGTATATCAACTTATTTTGTTTCCTAGATGTCAAAATACAATACAATATTCCACGCATGATACAAGTTTAACTGATGTTTTATATTAAATTGATCAAAGAACATTATGGTCGAGTAGAAAATAAAGCATTCTATGCACCACAGGCATTTTTAGATTATAATGCCCTTCAGGCGAAATATATCCCTTGCACCAGAGGCTAGTTTAGCCTTTTGGGCATTATAAGTATTCTACATAATGCCCTTGGTTACCCTTGGTACATACATAAATAGCTATAATTTATACCAGATATTTCTAACAAAAAAATATCTTGACCTCCAAGAAAAATACGAAATTTGAATGCAACAAGTTTGTAGCCTTTACCTCTAGTGTTTGGTAAATCTTAGGTATAGCGCCACGTCTTAGGTTTCACCAGTTTTCTGGCTTTCGTAACAAAAAGCAACAAATAAAAAGTTATCAGTACAAACACAAAATTAACAAATCAAGACATCAACTCATTCATAAAAGACTGTGTTGTATAATCTCTAAAATTCCAAAAAAAAAATACATGACAATTTTTTTTTTTCCATTAGCTCCAGATGCGAACTTCTCTAAATTGTTTCCGCCTCCTCCACCGCCAAGTGTTAGACCGCCACAAAATTGGGAAGCACCACCGCCCGCAGCCACTTCTGGAAGACAGGGTGTCCAACCTAGAAGACCCCCACCACCGCCGCCTACAAACTAAACTAAGCAATAACCCTTTTCACGTGGCTCCGGTTTAACAAACCGCAACATACCGCTCAAATTCGAGTGGTAGGTATCCATCACGTCACTTTGTAACCGGGTTAGAAAACGGTATGTCATTTCTCTAACCGTTTTGTAACCCGGTTAGTTAAACCGGAGCCACGTGAAAAGAACTAATGCCTATTGTTTTGTAAAAACGTGCCAAGTTTGCTTATTTTTTGTGTAGGTTATATTTTAATGCCGTTTTTTATACTTATATTATATAACACAATCATAGCAATTTCTCACAATTGATTAATTAGAGCTACATAGTAGTTACTGTCTTTAACACCCCAAGCGAGCTTCCATGTATAATTATTTTTGTAATAAGTAGTTTATATTTCTTTTTTGTTAGTTTAATTTCTCTAATACATAATATTGGTCTTTTTTTTTTGTAAACCTAAACGCGCATGTGGGTCTTCGTAGTTCGCATATTTTGATAAAATATTATGCAGAGGACACACTTGCGCATTCATTTTTTTTGCATAGATATTATCCTATTGGGTTAAAGGATAAACCATTCACCTAAACGATATTTGTAGTCTAACTTTTCATTTATAACATGTTTTGGACGAATCGAAATATAAAAACTATATCAAGAAAAACATTAATTAATTTACCTTTACCTTGACCTTGAATATAAAATAACAAAAACCAAAGAATTCAGTTGTGTTGTGTTTAGTGGTTTATACTTAGACAAGGAAAAAAGAGGGGACGAGTAGGTAACCAATGAAATAAATTAGGCAATCCAATGACCTGTCCAAATGGCTCTGGGTGGCAAACAAAAAACATAAAGTCTGTTTTTTTTTAAAGATAATTCCCCAAGTCAAAAGTTAGTAACTATGTTGGCAACACAAGCCTTTTCTACATAAAAAATTTGAAAGCATCGACAATTTTACATTGTATTGCCAACATAATGTCATTTTGACTTTTATCTTAAAAAAAAAAAAACAGATTCTATGTTTTTTTTTGGCATGATTATGCCTAGTACTCATAACAGCGAAATTCGCTCTTTTTTGACATTGCTTCGACAATTTGACGTTTTATGCGTGAATCAAACGTCAAATTGTCGAAGCAATGTCAAAAAAGAGGGAATTTCGCGGTTATGAGTTATAAAAAAAAATAGGCTTTATCAATACACGGGGCGAATTCTCAAATCTGACATTTTTCTGATATTGTTGACATGTAACAACCAATGAAAACAACCCGTACCTATTCTAGCCTCATAAAAATTTCAAAATGCCGGCTGGTTGGCAAAAGTCACGTGGTTTGGATTTCCTAGGCATTCCAACGACCTGTCAAAAAGTGCGCTGTGGCGGAAGTTCATTATCCCGTATATGAGAGCATGTAATTTGAGAGGGGCGTCAGATAAGAGCCAGCGCGCCATCTTTTGGGCTTTATGACATACAATAAATATTTTTTAATCACAGGTATTCAAATTCTCCGTAAGTGATTGACTTATTTACAAGTAGATGGCGACATCTTCAATATCAATTCGTTCACACAGTAATTTACAGTGGACTAAATAATTTCATTCAGATGCAAATGAAGTAATAGTATTTCACATTTTTAACTAGGTAAAACAGTTTTTACTGGCGTTTGAAAGAAGTGACTACCCTTCCCGAACTCAGCGACATCTTTTAGAGAAGCGCTGAACACACGTTTGGTTTGAGTCTTTGCTAAAAATGACAGCAATCACCTCGTTGTTTGGCAGATTTTGATTAATTTTGTGATACAAACATTAAAATTTTCGAAAATTCTGTCCTATTCATTTTTTCCAGCATTTTACTATCCGAAATTTTGGAAATTTATTGTTGGTGTGCTACTCTAGGTATTCGTCCCTTTTTCATTTAAATCCATGACCAAAATTTGCATATTGTTGTCAACAAAATTAGTAATAATTTTACTATTTAGACTGCGTATTTTGCAACCAAAAATGCTTCGACTTATAATCTAATCTATTATTGTTATGAACATAACTCCATTTCACTCATTAGTGGTCCAAATTTGGAATTGAACAGAAATTTGTGAAGGTCTGTAAATGACATTTTATTTAAACGCCCCTCTTAACGCTTTTTTCTACGAGCGTGCGGGAAATGACTCTTCCCGCACGATTTGCTGTGCGGGATGACTTTTTTCCGGCACCAGTGCGGGAAGAGATTTCTTCCCGCACTCAGTGCGGGAAGAGTTTGAAATAATCATTGTGACATGGAATTGTTTGTATTGTTGATACACCTATACTATACCTTTACCTTTAACACCTTTACCTTTTTTTTTATAAATACCTTTCAATACATTTTTAATTCTACCTTCTGCATAATCGCATTTTATTTGAATTAAACAAACAGCTTTAGTATGCTCGTAGAAAAAATATAGTTCCTAACTCTTGCGGGAAGAAATTTCCGGCACTCGGGCGCTTCGCACCCTCGTGCCGGAAATTTCTCTTCCCGCACTCGTTAGAAAAATAGCTATTTAAAGTGCATTTTGTGGTTGTTTTGTGAATGAACTCTGTTTATTTTTTTATTTTATTAACTTCATTAGTGTTTCTTCCAATTAAAAATGCCACAAACGGGTCTTGAAGTTGATTGTGGACAGGGCCCCCGCTACCATAAGCGCAAAGGCGTGCGGCGCACGCGGGCGGCAAAGCCAAGGGGCGGCAAATCGCACGAGAAAAAATATATAATAAAATTGTAATTTATAATTTATTCAATATTTAATAATTAAAATGTTTTCCTAAGTGTTTCAATTATTTTCCTTTTTATCCAAAGGCCAGACACCTGATTCTCGAAACGCCCAGCGCTCGTCTGGGAACAATAAGTGTCCTGTCCTTCTCAGTTCCATGTAAAATTTTATATGAGTGACAAAGACTGAAAATTAATAGAACCCTGCCCTGCGCCCTCGAGCGTATCGAGCGAGAATAAGGCTGCAGGTCTTAGCTCCGTACAGCCAATGGGCCAATTTTCCTGTAAAGTTTTCCCGAGGGGGAAGTCACCCATAAAATTTTGTACACTGAAATTTCTCTGAATCGAACTTTCCTGAAATTCCGTGCAATTCCTTACAATTCCTTGCAATTCCTCGCAATTTCCTCCAGTTGCTTCCAATTCCTCGCAATTCTTGGACAAATAATTTTATGTTTGAATAATCTTTTTGCAATTATATATAGGTTAATATGTTTAAATTATTTAATTATTGTAATTCTGTTGGAAAGTACAATGTACGTCAGATCGATTATCAATTATTGGGTACTCACATTAAAACAAAATAAATTTTAAACTATAACATTCGATTTTGCAAGCAAATGTTGATCCTTCGACTTCTGTCCAATAAGAATATTCATGTGGTTAACTGTTGCTTCAAACTTGCCCATGGGTAGCTTTATTCTGGATTTAATTTTGTTTTTATATCTGTATAGTGTTGATAGGGATGGTAGAATATTGTTCATGTTATTGTGTAAGGTTTCATAAAATAGTTTGCCTCCTGAGTAAAACAAATACAAAGCAAATTTCTTGAAATTGTCGTCATATACAGGGTGTCCACTTAGTGCGATATCGGACGATATCTCCTTAGAGGGTGATGCAAGAAAAAAAAATTTAATTACAAAGTTGTTTGATACTCTAATACGCATTAGCAAAATATATTTGAATACAGGTGAGTTAGTGAGCGCGCGGTGGTCCATATCTCCTATACTAACGGAGATCGAAGAAAAAACTAAATACAAAACTTGTAGATAAATATGAGTAATACATTCCTAAATTATTTGCCAGTATACATGGTGGCCCAATAAGTAGTGGTTACACAAAGCTATGTTTTTTTAAATGGCTCTCCCTGTTTATTATCGCATTTCTGGATTCTGCGGAAAATTCTAGACATATTTCATGTACAATGCCATATACCTATCTTCAACTGTTTCGGAAATATTGACAGTTGAAAATTGACTATTTTGCATCTTTGACAGACTGTAAAACCTGAACGGTCAATTTTACAGCAAAACCGATCATACATTCTTGTCTTAGTTTTTCATAAACTATCATTTGACACCAACTTTGAATTTAATCAATGATTAAAAAATCCGCTTAAATTATTAATCTCCGGTTAAATTCAAAGTTGGTGTCAAATGATAGCTTATGAAAATCTAAGCCAGGAATGTAAAATCGATTTTCCTCTAAAATTAACCGTTTAGGTATAACAACCTGTCAAAATTGCAAAAAGTAAATTTTCAATTGTCAATATTTCCGAAACAGTTGAATCACCACTTCTTGTTGGGCCACCCTGTATACTGGAAAATAATTTAGGAATATAGTATTCATGTCTATTTACAAGTTTTGTATTTAGTTTTTACTCCGATCTCCGTTAGTATAGGAGATATGGATCACCGCGCGTTCACTAACTTACCCTGTATACAGGGTGCTCTGTTTATGGGTTATGCAACAAAATTTTGTTATTTTAAATGGAACACCCTGTATGTGATTGCATATTTGGATTCTACGTGAAATTCTGAACAGATTTCATGTAATATAATATCATTTTACCTTCAACTGTTTTGGAAATATTGACATTTGAAAATTGACTTTTTGCAATTTTGACAGACTGTAAAACCTAAACGGTTTAGGTTTTACAACCTGTCAAAGTTGCAAAAAGTCAATATTTCCAAAACAGTTGAACTTAGGTATAGGGTACATCACATAAAATCTGCTCAGAATTTTATGGCGTTTCCGATTGGTAAATCTAGTGCGGAACTAGTGCAATTTTTTCTATTTCTGTCTTTCTCTTCTACAGATCGATTAAAAGGATGCAAATACACTCAGGGCGCACTGAATCTACCAATCGGAAACGCCATTAGGTAGAATCCAAATATGCAATCACATACAGGGTGTTCCATTTAAAATAGCGATATTGTCACTGGTTTAGAGTAGAAGCGGCAACACCTCATTAACAAAAATATTTTTAAAGTGTAGATTATGGTCATTTATCCCGGTTGCCAAATTTTCAAAATGATCCGATTTTTAGTTTTCCATAAACGTCTAATACGTCATCCACCGTGGGACACCCTGTATAGGGTGTTCCATTTAAAAAAACAAAGTTTTGTGGCATACCCCCATAAACGGAGCACCCTATATATTCAAATATATTTTTAACTAATGCACATTAGAGTATCAAAGAACTTTGTAATTTTTTTTTTGTTTTGCATCACCCTGTAAGAAGATATCGTCCAATATCGTACTAAGTGAAAACCCTGTATATTCTGTTTATTTCTACTGTTTTTGGTTGCAACATCTATGAGAGTTTCTAGGAATGCTTTTCTTGTCATAGTCAAACTCTCGGTTGAACTTGACACGTTAATAAAATGTACATTTTTGACAGTGTTGTTAAGTTTTTGTGTATAACAATTTTTGATGATACCTCAAATTCCTTAATCAAGCTGCCCTTCAACGTAAAAGCAAGTCTGGTCTGGTTTTGAGGTTAGAATTCATGAAAAATGACTAGCGATGCAACGTTGCCAGACTTTGGCAAACTAAGAGAGCAAGGGAACGGGGTATGTATACCTATGAAAGTATATCCGAGAGTGTATCACTGTATTTTGAGCATAAGCTAAATCTTTAAT